TCATGCAAATCTTCATGGATTCTATTTATTATGATTCAATTATTTATATTCAATCTTCTTATGCATGTTTTGATCAAATTAAATGATTTTCAATTGATTTCATATGGACTTATGCCTATGCCTATTTTATGAATATAAATTATGCTTATGAACTTATGGATTATGAATCTATGCATATTTTATGAAAAAGAATGATTTATGACTAAATGATGCTTCAAGATAAAATGTCAATGATTTGTGAAAGGTTTTATCACATATGAAAAAGATCATGATTAGATGCTTAGAAATGAAGTGTTTTATGAAGAAATTTTTGAAATTACGATTTGAAAGGATCTATTCTATTATGATTTATGATTGGATTGGTAGTGATCTTAAATGTGTCTTTCCAAGTATTATGATTATGAATATGATTATATCTTTTTCATTGAGATTTACTTCACATCAAGAGGACTTTGAGGTGGAGGCTCTCCCGTTAACAAATGTCGGGTCTCTAGAAACAAACTTCTTGTTCATAAACTACATGCCCCCATAGGATTGTCTTAAATGATCTAAATAGTGGATCCACCATAGCAATAATGAATGAGACAGAGTTCTACCTTGGCAAGTTAATTTCTCTTTTCGATGTAAGGGTCATATTGGATTCCATGTTATAGGTCACATGGCTTATTGTCGGTTAACGGTAAATTTTTCCACAAATGAATTACGTTTTCCTCAAAGGTTTTATGAAAATTTTTCCTATGATTTTAAGTATGCATTGACCTTGTTTATGATTCGTGATTTCTCTTTAAAAGTTCTTACTACATTTTAACTTGGTCATGCTTATCGTGTTAAGTTCGTCTAATTATCACTCCTATGTTTTTATGCATTTCCCCATACTTAGTACATTCATAGTACTAATGCATATGTGTGCCTATATTGTCTCATAATATAAGGTTCGACATTCCTCCTTCTGGACGTGCTTATATCAGGATTGCTCAACTTGATCATTGGTGAGTCTCATGGTTCAAGGACAACGCCATAAACAATTTTATTGCTTTTATGATCTTTTTTGTTTCATATATGTACATGGTGTATGGTTTACGTTCCAACCACTCTTATGATGTTAAAAAGGATTATGTCAAACATAGTAGTATTCTGCCTACTCTTATATGTACTTTGTTGGTATCATTTATGTCATCTTATGATTCTAAGACTTATATTGATTATATCTCTTAAATTGTATTTTATTATGTTATCTTAGGTCAAAGGGATTGTTTAGGGTCTCTCGGGATCTATTTACCATGTCACGTCTAGGGTGTAGTTTGGGTCGTAACAAACTTAGTATTCAAAACACCAGATTTTAGAAAAGGCCTTAGTATGTCTGACAAGCCGCATCGAGTAGAGTTTTGTTCATGAGTGTGAATCGTTCCACATTTATGAATGGGAGGCTACAAAACATTTAGGAAACTTCACTTCTTTCACTACTCTAAAGTTGTGCAATATAGTTCATTTCTATAAAGGTCTTTCTCCTAACTCTTGTCCGATGCTTTTCAGGATATGCCTCCTTGAAGAGTTAATGCAAGAAGGAATATGGAGCCCGAGGTTCCTCAAGTGTCGGTCGATCCTTTGGCCGAGCAAGTGTCTCATGCCAAATTCTAAGTCACTTTTTAAGTGTTGGTTAAGGCTATGACTGTCCAAGCTAATAGAGAGGTCATTACTCCCATGAAACCAATTATGGGCACGACGACGACAGGAGTGAGAGACTTCACTAGGATGAATCTCCCAGAGTTTTATGGGTCAAAATTTGATGATGATCCTCAAGAGTTTATTATTGATATTTATAAGATAATGAAGATTATGAAAGTGTCACCGGTGGAAAAAGTGGAGTTGGCCGCTTATCAACTCAAGGTTGTTGCTCAAGTTTGGTTCAATCAATGGAAGAAAGAGAGGGTAATTGATGTAGGTCCTCTTGATTGAGAGAAATTCGAAAGAGCTTTTCTTGATCATTTATTTCCACCTTGAGATGAATGAGGCAAATGTTCTTGAGTTCATTAATCTTCGATAAGAGAATATGAGTGTGGAGGAGTATATATTAAAGTTCACTCAATTGTCGAAGTACGCTTCGACTATGGTTGCTGACTTTAGGGCAAGGATGAGAAAATTTGTGTCGGGTGCGTGTGAAATGGTGGTGAAAGAGTGTTGATGAGTCCAGATTTGGACTCATTTAGGGCTTTGTTTTGATAGCTTTAGTGTCCTCAAATGCCTAATTTATTCTATAAACTAATGTTAAAGCCTTGATTTTCGGGTATGTGGACTAAGGAGCAAATCAAGGACACTAACAGGCAAAAAGAAACAAAACAAGCTGAAGAAGTGGAGAAAAACGATCCTGGTGATTGCCAAGACCACTCGACGGATCGCCGAGTGGCTCTTCAGTCCGCTTAAAGTTCCAGTGTGACCAGCCCTGATAGAAGAAATCAAGTCAGCGACAGGAAAGGGGTAGTCGACGAATCGCCGATCAGTTCCACGATGACAAGATGGATCGCCCAAAGTTACATGCATTGATGATGTTGAGAACTAATTCATAACGGAGATAGAAGAGAGCAAAAGACGGCTCGGCGACCCCGACTTACCTCGCCTAATGGCCTTTCGTGGCTAATTTTTTGGGTAGCTATAAATTGGATTTTAAATGTAATTTTGAGGGATCACCTCTGAGTTATAGTTCCCATTCTAGACTTAGAGTTTTCTCTAGATTTTTTAGTTCGAATTGTACAATTTGGGAGGATTTAGAAAGTGATTTTTTGAATTTCACTCTTGGAAATCATTGAAAAGGCTTGGAGACTCTTACCCACACCATGGCTAATGCATTTGGTAACCGTTTCTCTATTTTTCTGATGTGTGGCTAAAACCCCAATTCTTGGGGTGTGATTATGTGATTATGGCTTGAATTAGTGGGTTTAATCATTAGCTATGTTTTTATTTATGAATTGTAGTTGCAAATGTAGTTCTAACTTTGAGTTCTTAGCTTGCTTGAGAAAGAGGTTTTTTAACCAAAGCTTATGATTAATGGTTTGTAGGTATTATGTTGATGTGGGTTCAGCTCGAAAGAGTGAATCCCAAACCAAATACTACCCATTTTTTCCGAGAGAGAGGATGTATTAAGGTTGTGGGCTGCTTTTATTTGTTAAGTTTGTTGATGTTCGAGAGAAATCACTTGAATCGAAGTAGTTGTTTGAGAGAAAGCTATTTCACTCATAACCTAGCCTACCCACTGATATTTAACTATTTATTAGTAGTTTCAATTACCCATATAGCAAAATTTGCCTATAATCGATCACATCCCGAGAATTCCCCTCTTTATTATTATTTCAGCTTTGTGTGACTGCATTGTAGCTGATTGCAAACCAAAATTCCCCATCTGACATTTGTTGTCACCCCCTTAAACTTGTTTACATGTCTTTTTTCGATAACTCCTATTCCTGTAGCTGATTTGACCACGTTTGTACTTCCTAATTGAATTTGAACACGTACTGCTCCCTGTGGGTTCGACCCAAACTCTTTGTTGGGTTTTATATGACTTAACGATTGTTTACACCTAGAATTGGATGAGGTGTGCTTGAAACGTTAATCAAGTGTCGTACCACCATGTTGATTAAGGAGATGAATATTTCTTGTTTGATGATACATGTACAACAAATCGAAGAAGAGACGTTGAAAGAAAAGTCTAGATAGTCAAAAAGGGTAAGGACCGGTGATGATGACCTTTCTCATTCTAAGTTTGATGGACATAGTCGTCCTCAATTCCAGCAAAAGTTTTCCGGTCACGGTTTCTCTAATGTCTCGGCTCCTAAGTTCAACAAATATAGGGTATCTTAACCTAAGTCTCAAGAAGGTGGTAGAAATGGATCTTCGATTCCCGCTTGCCAAAAGTGTGGCCGCAAAAGTCATTCGAGAAGGTGCTTAGCCGATACAAATACTTGTTATGGATTTGGAAAGAGTGGTCACAAGATGAGAGATTGTTCGTTACTCGTATCTAAGGGGAGAAATGGTAGGAAAGCTCAACATAGTGGTTCTGGTTTGGGTGCTCCTCATCATAATAGGTTCTATGCTCTTCAGACTTGACAGGATCACGAGGATTCTCCAGATGTTGTGGCTAATATGTTAAATGTCTTTCATCTTTATGTGTATGCTTTGCTTGATCTGGATTCTACATTGTCTTTTGTAACTCCTTATGTGACTATGAGATTTGTTGTCTGTCCGGCTATTCTTCTAGAACCTTTTTCAGTCTCTACCCCCGTTAGTGATGCTACTGTTGCTAAACAAGTCTGTAGAAATTGCCCTGTTTCTGTTTCACATAGAGTCACTCATGTTGATTTGGTAGAGCTTGATATGCTAGATTCGATTTTATTCTTTGGATGAAATGACTTCACTCTTGCTATGCTTCTATAAATAGTAGGATCCGATTGGTCACATTCCAGGTTCCAAACGAATCTATCTTTAGAACGGAAGAGGGGAAATTCAGCGTTTAAGGGTCAATTCATATCTTGCCTAAAGGCTAGGAGAATGATATCTCAAGATTGTTTCTATCATCTTGTTCGAGTACGAATTCTAAAACCCCTACTGTTGAGTCATTCCGATTGTCGATGACTTTCCCGAAGTGTTTCTCGATGATATTCCTGTTGTTCCTCCTGGAAGTGAAATAGACTTCGGTATTGACCTTCTCCTAGATACACAATCTATCTCTATTTCTCTTTACCGCATGATCCCGACAAAAAATTTAAAGAATTTTATTATTTTAATCCATTTATAACTAATATCGTATAAAATTAATATGCGAATAACTTTTATATAACATTTGAAACTTAGGAACAAAACATTATTTAAAATTAATAACTATATGAATAACTTTTATTCTATGTACAAATTAATAAATTAATTAATACATGAATAAACTCATAGATTAACCAATTGGATCGGCAGTCCCCACCCCAGCCCACCCAAAACTTGGCTATCCGCTATCCCCGACCTCACTCATTCCGTGATTTGATAAGAAGAAAATTTGGTATCAAGAATCAGTGGAAAGATCACAATCAGAACAACTATATCTGCTAGCTGGATATAACACATCGTATATAAATAAAGACTTTCCTTGTTGCAGATCTTACGGCTTCAATGAAGGAGCCTTCCATTTCTCTTCAAGAAATCGATTTCCAGTAAAGGTAGATTTTATTTTGGTAAAAATGGAGGATAGAGGAGAATCGTTCGTGGCAGTGAGGAGGATATCGCAAGGATTTGAAAGAGGGAATAGTACTTGCCATTCATCTTCTGGTATGGTATATTCCTTCTTAATTTAATTTAATAACGCACTTGAGTCTTTTTTGATATCTCACTTTCTCTCTCTACTTCTATTCCTTTATCTGTGGATTGAAATTTTTGGTTTACTGATGCCTAGTTGCGTTGAATTTTGTGGTGAGTTTGCATCCAATTTCCGCAAATTTTCTTTTCATCACTGTTCCGCAAGAAAGATGCATGCACAAATTGTGGGCTGAAACAGCCAGTTTATTTGTAAAATTGCGGAATGGCTTTTTGACAATTACAGTAGACAAATATGACGGCTATTTGATTCTTCTCCAAGGACGACAAAAATCTATTATTTCATAGTTTTGGTTTCTAGGTTAAAATGAATGTCGGTTGTTGACCTTTCATATACGGAAAAACGTCTGAAAAGTAGCTTTAACTATCACTGATAGTTTTAGAGTGGGCACAACACTAGAGTGGAGTGGTTGAGAATTTACTAGGTCATTTATGTTAACTTTTGGGAGTGGTACAGGCTGCATGGGGGTATCGTGATTGCTTAACCAGGCTGTTCATCTCACGGTTGCACATTATGAGAAAGCAGGATTGTGGATTGTGCCCTCTGTATTTAATGAATTTACATTACATGATTGCATCTAATTTTAGCTTTCAAATGGGAATTGTTTTTTGATAGACAATTGTAAAAGGCAATTGGCTAGTGAAGTTGTGTTAAGGTGGTTCTTGTTTCGTACTCAATGTTGGGAGGTTATTTTTTTCTCTTGTTGTGCATAAAAAAGGTTAGTTCATGAATGTTTAGACACTTGAATGGTATATTTATCTTTTTGATAAAGGTAACATTTGTATATCAATCATCAGCTCAAAGCTGGTATCCAAAAATTTACATCATATCCTCCCTCCATACATGTGTGTTGGGCATAAACAAAAGATAAAGAAAAGAAAGAAGAAAAAAGAGAACTATCTCTATATCCTCCTTTCACCTTTATAAGGACCCTAGAATGTCTACAATAGCCACAGGGTCATCTATATACTCTGAACTACACCATTAGCAAAAAGTGATAATGCAGTTCATTTTAATCTTGTGCAGAGGGCTGCTCTTGTTATCAAAATTTCTAGAATTCCTTTCTTTCCATATGGTCCACCAAATAACAGCTGGGACAATTTTCCATCTACTCTTGTCTGTGTTGCCACTGCCCTCCATATTCCAGCTTTCTAGAGCCTGTCCTGTTCTCCCTGGAACAGTCCAACTTATACCTCTGAAGCTAGTAAACAAATTCCACAGCTGGCCAATCACTTTACAATGTAAGAACAGATGATTAATTGTCTCTGCAACCTGCTCACAAAAACAGCATCTTGGGCACATTTGTATTCCCTTCTTCATAAGATTCTCTTGTGTAAGAAGTACAGCCTCTTTCACCACCAACCAAGTAAAAACTACCACTTTATATTGTATTTTAACCTTCCATACTTGAATGGTAAATTTATGTTCAACATACCCTGCTGTTTTTGTACATCTGCAACAGCACTCTCTTTGTGCTTATTTCTCATCATCAACATAATCTAAACAATGAAAAAGAAAAAAAGTATACAGATGTTTCCACTTCTCAATGACCAATTTTGGTAGGTAGGATTTCTACTAACTAACTGAGTAGTATTGCCCATGATATTTGTTCTCTAACATTTGTGAGCTTTTGTTTTCGTACCCATGCATGTACCATGTATTTAATTGTGATATTATCCTGATTACATAATTGAACCTTGTCATAGTTTCTGAATTGATGCATTCTTGGCACTTCTTCGTTAGTTATGAAACTTTGCTCTAAGTTGCTCGGACTCGGTTGCGGGTGTCCGATACAAGTGTGGATCTAGAGGTCGGATCCTTCATGATCTAATTTTTAAGATTCGGGGATATGGATCCATGTATGGATACGGGTGCGGGGATTCACTTAAAAATAATTAAAATATCTAAAAATAGAGTTATAAAACCTAAATTATGAGAAATTATGTGGAGAACTTGAGGAGAATCTTGGAAGGAGATTAAAGGAAAAAGAGTGACATAGAAATTTCTATATGAAAGGTATTCCATTTTCTTCAATTTCACCTTATCTTTTGTATTGATTATAGGAATCATTAAAATTGTCCAAACTTTCCCCATCGATTTTGGTCAAAGTACCCAAAATTCGTTGACCAAATCGGACACGGATCCCACACCCACATCCACACCCACACCCATGTCGTGTCAACACGGTTGCGGCACCAAAAGTGAAGAGTCCGAGCAACTTAGACTTTGCTCATTCGAGTTGTCTTTTCTATGTGTCTAGAAAGATACACTTTAACTCCTTATTCTAAAAAGGAAAATAAATAAATAAAGGATCAACTTCTCTTCTTAATAATAAAAAATGAATGCGCTTCTTGTCACATGTCTAAATCTTCTTTTTTTCTATCTCTATACACTATGAAGAATGTTGTTAATGGGAACTTGACCTCCCATTTTCCTTAGATTATTGTTTCCTTTTGTTACTGCAGAGGTCATGGCCGGATCAACAGCATGGCTTGGCAGAGGTCTTTCATGCGTTTGTGCCCAGGGAACCGATATTGATGCTCGTCCATCATTTGATCTGACACCAGCCCAGGTAATATTCTAGTCTATGTTGCTCGGACTCTTCAAAAATGTCAGTCGGTGTGTGCTGGATTCTTCAAAGGAGTGTATTTTTGGAGAATTTGACATGGGTATGGCATCAAAAGTGAAGAGCCCGCACAACTTAGATTCTAGTGCAGGTTATATGAAGTGTAAGCTTCCTACCAAGTAAATTTCTAGGAGTGTCAACACGATGCAGTATTGGGTTCTTTTGATCCTCTCTTATTAAAAGTTTGTATTCTGGATAGGATTTCGTTGTGGTACTTCCAATATGCTATACAAATTTGTTTTCTGATTGTTTCTCCAAGATTTTACACTTGAAAGTTACAACAAATAGGGAATATGCTGAGTGTTGCGAGTGGTAATGAATTTTATTTGGTTTCATAGTCATTTGGCTAATTGAGCTCATGTTGAGGTTCACATATTCTTTAACTCTCTTTTAAATTGTGCTAAGTCTCAGGCATGAATGTCTTATATCTAAAATTTCACACTCTCCCTGTTCCTCCATAATCCTCAGATAACCACAGTTGAAAATTCTAATGAGATTGCCAATATTGCCTTTTATTTTCAATTCCCCACTTATGTCAACTTATCCAGTTTTATTCTTAGAAAATATGTTATTCAGAATGTTAAGTTTCACAGCACTGTGAGGAAGTATGGAGTGTCTTTGGCACATCGGCACTTATTGTGTTCTCTTCCACTTTGTTAATGTTAGGAGGAATGCTTGCAAAAACTACAAAACCGTATAGATGTTGCATATGATGGTTCAATTCCTGAACATCAGGTATCCTCTATTTGAAGACGTCTTAGCCATTTCCCTATGAACTTAAGAGAAAACATCTTTATGGATTTTAAATATTCCATTAAGGTTAAATTTACATTCTTACTGCTCATCTTCGTCTCTCTCTCCCCCTCTCTTTACCAAAAGGAAGCTTTAAGAGCACTGTGGAAAGCTGCCTTCCCTGTGGAAGAACTCCATGGTTTAATATCTGAGCAATGGAAGGAAATGGGTTGGCAAGGGAAGGATCCATCTACCGACTTTAGGTACATCAGTATTTCTTTCTCTTCCTCCCCCCCTAGGAATCTTAAATAAGAAATCACTGATGATTGAGCTTATCTAATCTCAATTTTCTGACTTCTTCCGGCCTTTCTGGTCCTTCCATTCTTGGTTTTCCACTGACATGCTTGATTGGTTTTGATAGGGGTGCTGGATTCATATCGCTGGAAAACTTGTTATATTTTGCGAGAAATTTCCCGGTACTTCCTCTTTTTGCCTTCTCTTTATGGAGAAATAACATTGTGCCATGTAAACCTTTTATGCCTATAATGAAAAGCTAATCTTTTGTATCAACAAGTACTATTATTTGGTAATCATTGGAAACGTAACATCTATGTTTCTTAAACTGGTCTTCATGACTATGTCTCCCGAGATTGTAGTTATTATTCAGATGTTGTGTTATTTCTGTATGTTCTCAGTTCTCACAGTTTCTTATGCACCTCTTCTTTCATGCAATTGTAAAAGTATGATTCTATTTGATTCCTCAACCTTCAAAAACATTATATTAGTTGTGATTGTGTTGGTTGATGGACATCTTAAAGGATGGTCAAATTGCTCTCTGCTATTCCTTGCTACTGTCAAACAGAAATGTTTTAGGCACCTTTATGTTTTCTTTGAGATACCGTAACATCTAATTTCTTTTATTAAACTGGGTAAGTATTTCTTTCAGTATTTTTATCTAATGACAATAGGGGTGACTTAAGAATGAACACAGGATCAATCAGGTAGATTTTTTTTCCCTTTCCGACGTTTTGGATAAATAGGTATATTGGTAAAGTCGTCACTATGTGACCTATAGGTCTTGCCGTGGAATCAACTACTGATGCTTGCGTCATCCCGGGCTGCCTACATCACACTCCCTTGAGGTGAGGTCCTACCCCAGACCTTGTGAGATACATCATGCACCGGGTTACCCCTTTTTACATAGATTGTCCTAGATCTCAGTTGACCCTTAAAGAAAGAGAGAATCTTCTACCATTGACATCCCTATTTCAAATGACTTGTAAAATTAAACAAATTTGCTGCATAGACTGTAGAGTATGAAGCTGTTAATTGAGATGTCAGATCTTTATTTTATTTTTTTGAGTATTTTGGGCATATTTAGGCTACAAAATCAACAGAATTGTAAGAGTCTAGGGGGAACAAGTTCCAGTTTGTCGTATCCTTTTCTGATGGTACTGATTATTAATGGAAGATGGCATATCCATTATAAAGAAAAGTTGATGAGCAAGTTATATGGCATGTAGTGTTTTTGAGAGCGGTAAGTGCAAAAAAGTGATTAGGGTCTACTTCGCTTAATGCAAGAAGCAAAGCCCTCGGTTGATTTTTTTTTTTTTAAAATCAAAATAAACCTTGCACAAATAAATAGAATAACTAAATAAAAAACTCAAGGAAACTTTTATATATATGCAAATCAAATTTTTAAAAACAGAGAAGAAGAAAAGTTGAAGAAAATGAATTAACTAACTAAATAAGAATATAAGATTGCCCACTTAAATAAATTAACAATCGCTAAGACAATAACAAGAGAATAAAAGAATGTAGAGGCAATGAAACAATTTATAAAGAAAATAGAAGGAAGAAAAGTTGAAGAAGATTATAGAAGCAATGAAAAAAAATAAAAGTAGAAAATAAAAGGAAAAAAGGAAAAGAAAATGGCAGCGCAAATAAGAATAGTGAAACAACGAAGAAAATTGCTTGAATTTTCAAGAAACAACACTATCAGATTTTGAAGAACCCTAGTCGCAGAGAGAAAGAAGAAGCGACCTAGTAACTCTAATTATTTTTCAATCTAAAATAGTCCTAGCTTCCCTTTTTTGCTAAAAAGTCACGCTTATATTATAAGCAAAGTGACTACTTCCTCGCGATCTCAGGCTTCAAAGATAGAAGCAATTGCTTCATGCAAACCTCTTTGCCTCACCTTTATACGCCCTGACCCCCCTCGCCTCACGTTGCTTCATTGTTTAGAAGTTGTGAAATGGGTGCTTTTAAAAACATTGGTGCCATCCCAAACTTTTACCATTTGACACAAGTATATTTCATTGAGCTCTGGAAATTTGGCATAAATGAAGGCCCAAAAAGATAATAATAAACTCGTATGGTTGGCCTGACGATCAACGAAGTGAGTTGAGAACCTTCAACTCTTCGGTTCTAATTCCACAACAAACGTAAACACACTAGGTGATTTCTTCTTATCTATCCAAGTCTTGGTTAATAGAGTTATCATGTATTGTATTGTGTTGGTGGGAGGTAGCAAATATCTCATGGAATTAGTTGAGGTGCATGTGAACTGGGCGAGCACTACAACAACATACCAGTGTAGTATCACAAAGTGGGGTCTAAGAAAAGTATAATGTACGTAGGCTCAAGAAAAACCCAGTCCAAAGAAATCTAGAAAGAAAGTAACGGTAGTACAAGAAACAACTTATAGTAACAAAACAAGAGATAGTAACACAACGATACTACAACAAAATAATACGATGGTTGATGTACAAGAAACAACAGAGAGTGACAAAAATCAAAGGACAAGAAACTGCAAGAGTAATACTACAACTACGAGTATGGACGGACAACAAGAATGCACCTATTGATCTTCTACCCTAATATGTGTCCTTCACAACCTCCTATTTAAGGTTATGGCCTTGGTAAGTTAAAACTGCGTCATTTAATCACCTCGCCCCAATACTTTTTTGGTCCACCTTTACCCTTCATGAAACCATCCATAGCCAACCTCTCAAACCTCCGTACTGGGTATCCATGCAACTCATCATATGCTCAAACCATCTTAACCTCACTCCCTGAATCTTGTTCTCCACCGAAGCCACTCCCATCTTGTCCCGGTTATCCTCATTTCTAATCCTAATCTCTCTTAGTATGTCCACACATCTTTCCCGACATCCTCATCTATGCCACTTTTATCTTTTGAACATGAGAGTTCTTGATTGGCTAACACTATTTCCCGATGTCTCTTAGAGTGCTCCAACTCCCGTAACACAAGGTCCAGTTGATCTTCCTGCACTTCTTCTAAGCCCCCAGTTGTATAGTCTGTTCACAGAAAATACCCCATCTTTGTGATTTCCCCATGCTAATTTGTGTGTCTTTAGAGTATTACCAGGGAATCCACCAATCAAGCTCAAAAGCTCTACCACTCCATCAATCTCCTGGTCATTTAGCAGCGTTATAAATACCAAATTCGAACCTTGTGGTGACCACATCTCCTCTATCCTGTTATTAATATTTGTGCATATTGAGAAAAGATCAAGGAATAGGTCCCTTAGAATTCCATTTCCACACCAATCATCCAACCAGAACTTTGTTTTGTCCTCTCTGCCAGCCCACCACTATCTGTGAGTTGTTCTTGAGACTCACCCAAAGTTCTTGATGGTCCTCCACACTTTTCCCTTGCCATAGGAAGTTTCTTCTAAGTGCATCTAAAACCTCCACTATCCTATTAGTAGTACGAAAGAAGGGCATCACATAAGTGGGTAAAGAATCTAGAATTGAGTTAATTAGTGTAACTCTACCTCCCAGAGATAGGTATTGGGATTTCCATATAGCTAATTTCTTCTCTGTTTTCTCAATAATGCCATCCCAAATTTTTCCTGCTTTGTGGTCGGAGCCCAAAGGCATATTCCTAGGTAAACTGTTGTAAGCTTCTCTACCTTGCACTTCAAAATACTTCCAAGAGCCTCAATCTGTTGCACCTCCTTAATTGGAAAATTACTCTCTTTTCTCCAATTTACTTGGAGTCTTGAGCGTGCCTCAAAAACCACCAGGATCACTCTTAAATAGCAAATTTTCCCGCTCAGCTTCACAGAAAACCATTGTGTCATCTGCTTACAATGGGTGTGTTAGTTCAATTGTATCATTTACCCTGTTCTTTATGGAAAAGTCTCTTATCCAGTTATTCTGAGAACCAACTCTCATCAACCTGTCCAAACCTTCCATGGCTATGATAAAGAGAGAAGGGGATAGTGGGTCACCTTGTCTCATGCCTCTTTCTGCTGGAAAAAACCAACTGGTTCTCCATTTACTAAAATGGAAAACTTAGTGGTTTTGATGCAAAAATTTATCCAACTGAGCCATCTCCACCCAAACCCCATCTGCCTTAGGATGTTAATTAGAAACTCCCAGTTAAAATGGCCATCTGCCTTCTCAATATTTAGCTTGGACTGTGGGACTCCTTTAGTTGTAGAATCAATGCACTCACTAGCTAGAAGTGCAACATTCATGATTTTGTTTTTGAAACTGGTAACATTGTATACCTCAGCATTAAGGGCTATGCTGGCCACCTCCAAAAGTGTTAGTTACATCGAAAAACCAACAAAAAAAAACAGGACTACTTACAAAGCTCCTGTGAAATCCACTAGTTGAATTTCTTCTTCTATGTTCATTTCTTTACACCAAAAACCTAAAGTGGTAATTACTTTCCACTTAATCTTCTCTATAGTGCATTCTTTCCCTACAAAAATTCTCTGATTTCTCTCCTTCCAAATGATCCACCAGATACAAGCAAGTACTGTTCTCACCACCTCCTTTGGCTCTTACTACCTCCCCTTCTGACCCAACAACTTAGTAGGTCTGCTGTATGTTCTGGCATAATCCAATTTAGGCTCTTTATATTGGTGAATAGAGCCCATACTTGTGTTGTTACTTTGCCGTGGAGAAACAAATGATTGTTGGTTTCTAGAGCCTCTTTACAAAGATAACATCTTGAGGCAATAATTTTTCCCCTCTTTTGAAGTTTATCATGTGTCAGGCAAGCTCTCCTAGTTACCAACCAAGTGAAACACTTCACCTTAGTAGGGGCTACACTCTTCCATATAGCACTCCATGGCCCTGATTTTTCCCCCGCAATTGTGGCTAGATCCCTTTTATACATTCTGTTCACATAGAATTGACCATCATTATGATGCCTTCATAGCAATTTATTTGTTTCCAAATTTGTGCCAGGAAAATCTCCAATCAAAGCTAGCATATCCAAAACCCACTCTATTTCCCAATCATTAAGAAATCTCCTAAAGAGCAAATTCCATCCTTGTGGGGACCAAACCTCTTGTATTTTGCTGTCAGGATTCAGGCAAATGGAAAACAACCCAGGGAATAAATTTTCCAAGGACCCTTGACCAGTCCAGTCTTCCTTCCAAAACAAAGCCTTATTTCCTCCACCAACCTTTATCCTTACATTGTCTCTGAAAGC